ATAGACCATTAAGGTAAACCTTACTAAACCTTAAACCTTGAGCAAAATACAGCAGCATAAAGCAAAGGCTTGATATTTACATCAAAAACAGACCTGACAGTCTCTAAACATGTATTATGTTTGATATATACTCTACAGACATCATGGAATAACTTGATTAAAAGACTATAAGTGAAGCCAACGACAAACAAACAAACCGTTTTTCAGTGTCTCCCTAAACTAAAAGATCAAGAGGTTACACTGAGGAACATGCTGCGGTTGTGCCGATGCAGTAAGTGTTGAGCGTATCAAAGCAGCCCCTAAATTCGTCTCTAAATAATAGATAATGGGAGCGACTGAGAGAGGGAGGTGAGGGGTGATGCCGAGTACTGGATTACATTACCGCAAAAAGATTGACTGGAAAACTTTTCCGACCTGACAAGAAGTTGGCCCGGCTCGCTCAACACGCAAAACAAGCAACATTGGTCCATCCAGGCCTTTCATTCGTACGCCAAAACATCAGTGGCAGAACCCCTCCACCGGCAGTTTCATCATACGAACATCACATATGGACAGCGTTGTGTTGCTGAACAGCATGACGGCCGCGTTGCAGATCTGACGGGAGCACAGAGGATATCTGCAGGATGGGGAGCATTACGGGTTCGTAGAGAGAAATTAGACCAAGTAGCTGCCTAATGAACTCATTTGCCTTGGGAATGAGTGACACAGCTAATGCTCAGAATGATTTAATGAGCAGCAGAGGACCCCTCAGATAAAAGTGCGAAAAGTTCAACTCTGCCAAGCGCTTATTTGGTTCTGATTAGGTCTCTGCGTGTGTGCCAACTCAGCAGACTTCAGGGTTTGCTAAGAATGGAGCTGACACACTGAATCGATGCCTTTCTCGACGATTGATCCTGATTGCTTTAAATGAGCCATAAACACATCTCTCTCCTGCTTTTAATGCTGGATTGAAGAAGTTTGTGTGCAGCCCGAGGAGACACTTGGCCTTCTGGGGGTCAGTTTGACTGGCTGCTTGTTGTGGATCTTTTTCTCACTGAGGAACGACATGCATCTGGTTCATCTCTACGCATCTCAGAGATTGTGGCCTCCTATTTGTCCAGAAAGAACCAGAGGCTCATACGGGCACATTAATATCAACGTCACTCGCCACCGGCACCCAGCGCCCAGACAGCTCCAGTTTCAGGCAGCATTCAGAGGAAAAGTCGGGTCATGTGCAGAACCTCAGTTTTAATTAGCTAATGGCGCTCCCTGTTTTATCTCCTGCACCTGAGCTGATTGCTCACAAAAGACTCCATTTACCCCCGAAAAACACACGACACGTTGGCAGCGACCCGCTCGGTGTCTCGGCGTCTGCTGCCGAGGGAGTTCGCCGCTCTCTTCCAAAAATCAGTCTAGTAAATCTAAATATATACGTTAGCTGGTTTCACACTTGGTGAAAAAAAAAAAAAGAGGAAATTCCATGATCTACGCCTGTTTTTTTTTTTTCCAGGAGGCGACAACATCCAACTTTCCTTCAACAAGTGGTTTGACTGTGTGTGTGCGTGTTGTGGTGTTTGTGTGCATGTGTTTGGACGGAGCTCCATTAAGCAGCTAATGCTGGCCGGGTTCGATCATTGTGAAATAATGGGGTGGCTCACCGTCATGGTCCAAACACAAATCTGTGAATCCAGCCGTGTACAGAGGAATATTCTTTCGGTTTAAAGCATCTCTTTACTCGATGAGATATTACTTAATAACCAGCTTACGTCATTTATATATTAAAAAAAGAAGAAGAAATTCTAAGCAACGCCTTAATATCGCGTCCAGGCCAAATCTGTCATAATAAAACAATACTACTCTCGCCATGTGCAGCACATAATTCAACATGTGCAAACTGTGCTTTTCCTCGAACTTCTAAAAATTATTAAAGTATGATTTTTTTTTGCATAAAACACACTGGCATGAGCAGCAGCTCGCTTCATGCCTTGAACAACAGATTGAACCGTTCATCGCTCAACAGCATAACCTCCTCTTGTAATATTCAAAGCCAGCTAGGGGTGGTTTTTTTTCTTCACATTTTTCTCCAACATCTGACCAAACCCGCTGTGCCAAACAAACCAAATAAAAAGCGCACAATGCCGCACTCTTGCCTGAAGTCACTCTGCCATGTAAACACTGAGTCCTTTTCCTTCAGGAAGATGTTTTCTTGAAATTTCATAGCTCACAGTGCAAGAACTTCAGACGCTCGAAATCCACCGGGCAAAAGCAGAACAATATCAAAGTCTAGGACCATGACAGGGGCTGCTCTCGCTGGATATATTTTTAATATTTATGCAGACGCAGGGGGAAAAAAATGCAATAAACTAAAACAACAAGTGAATTAGGCATGAAACACAACAGGATATTGCAGAGAGATTATGTTGTTTCCCTTTCACCCGTGTGTCCCTCAGCGTTTGCCTGCCCTACACAACAACCCGGCTTTAATTGGGAGGGGAGTGGGAACCAAACATGCTGTGTACAAAAAAAAAAAAGGTAGAACTCTACGTATGGACGGAGCCGATTTATTTGTTAAACTTTCTGAAAAATATTAGTCAGGTACAGGCCGCGACAGGGCCCACGCAGGGGTCGAGGCGCGACGTTTGTGTGTTGTGATAATGACTTTTTGCTGCCAAGACGCAGCGTGAAGCAAACGCTGTGCAGCTGTGAGGAGAAAAAAAGGGGATGGCAGAGGAGGGGAGATGTGTTATGTTTGGATGTCAGGCGAGCCCCGCTTCATGAACGCCTGCTGGAATCTGCCGCTGGAAAGATAATAAAAAAGATTAGCCCTGGGTTTTTCTGGAGCATTTGGTCCCTAAAACAGAATGTCTCATCCGTTTCCTCTGCAAGAATTGCTTGAATGCTTGAATGCCTTTGTCTATTGCAACCAAACACAACATAGGGCTGCGAGCGCTGGTGGCAAAAAGCGCTCAGACGAAAATAAAAAAGGGGACAGACATAACCTAAACACATGCACGGTCTTGCAGACAAGGTTTCCTATGAGCACTTATTCAAATCCGTCGAGCACAAACACGGTTACAAACACACACACGGAGAGAGGGTGTTTATTTTCTCAGGGCCTCCAGGTTTATCTGCCCAAGTCCCACATCAACATACATTGAATCCCTGCTGATTACATGTGTTGATTCAAGCCTGACAACATTTCACATTTATGTTTAGGTTCTGTCGGAAAAAAGCAGCCCGACGTACTGTACGCCGAATCAATACTTCCTATTGTGAGAGCCGACGGACACAATGTGCCCATTTTGACGCTGGCGCATTGCTGTGAATGTGTGTGCTGGAAATAAGGGTGATCAGGAGGTTAGGGTGTGTGTTCTCAGTGCCTCACGTCCGCAGACAGAGTCCAGCGGCTCGTCCACACTGAGCCGAATTGTTCTCGTGCTCACATATGGCAAACATCTCCCCAAAAACACACATTTCTGTATACACCTATCCGGCGTAAACATTCACACGGTGTCTCTTCAGTCCTCGCCGTTGTAAAGACACGGCGGCAACAATAACGACAAATAAAGAAAAGACAAATGACAGCCTGTAATACAACACACTCCTGCAGCTGAATTAACAGTTCGGGCACGTACAGCACGAATAATTACTTCCAAATTTTCAAAGTTCACGCCGAGCCAAGGCAGCAGAAACACTAATACTCGGCAGTGACGCAAAGCAGGCAGGCAGCGTTGTTTGAGTTTGTGCCGTTTTGGCCGCAGGCGGAGTTCGGCTCAGATGTGCGTTTTTTTTTGTAAATGTATCAGTCAGAATTAAAACGAAGCTCTTACTCAACCTCTTCAGAAAAACAGCCGCCAACGAGAAAAGACTCTCACCTCGGCTAATTTTAAAAGTCAGCGTTATTTGGAAAAAAACAAACAAGACCTGGATTTTGAGAAAAAACAGGTGCCGCGGCAATATTACAGGCTCAGTTTTTCAATTAGAATTAGGGATTTGGACGGATTCCCTGAACTTGAAGAGGACCACTTCTGACAGGGGGGGAAGGGGGGGGCTTTTGGGTGAAACCGTGAATTGAGCAAGACTAGCGAATGTTACCGACTATCCCTCTGCGGCTCCCTTCTCCAGACTACTACATTTCTCATCATGTTTGGCTTGGACATGAGGCCAATTCACTTAATACTTGTGGGACAGCTAAACATTTAAAGCTCCCATTTAAAAGGATCAAGTGTAGGCATTGTTTGGTTATGTTAACCATATGTGTTGGCTTTGCATGATCTGAATCCCTGACTCGAAAAAAAAAAAAAAAAACGGGAGTGCTTGTGAAAATAAACATGGCTTCGCCCTACACAAATTGTGGACTAATTGTGTATTTGGACTAAATCATTCTTAAGGTTGGAGGGCTTTTTCCATTTGTGACGGGACGTTGGCGGTGGGGGGGGGGAGTGACAGCTTGACATTGATTAGTGTGTTCACTTGTGGAATTGGAGCCTTACCTGTAAAGAATACAACCGCAAATCTATTTATACTGACGAGGCAGTGCTACTCTTACAGCAGCTCACATCTTCAGTGGAAAAAAACTGTCTCTCACGTTTTTTTTTTTTTCTTCATATATGTTCCACTAAAAATACAGGCATTATAATCATAACTGTTTCTCAAGCAAAACAAAATAAAAGTTTCTGTTGAAACGTAATCAGCAGTCAAGCAAGTCCAGTCTTGTTTTTGGACACGATGGATGTGTATCTTGCTGACGAAAAAAAAAAATCATCTTGAAGGTCTGTATTACCTTGTGAAATGTGCTTGTGTTTAATTTAAACCAAAAAAACTAACAGGTGGTTGCAATTAGGAGATAAATTAGACTCATATTAAAGCAATAAATACAACCTAATACCTTCAAATGGGAGCAAAATTAGTCAGAGTAGGAAAGCTGACTGTAAGGGGATTTTTTTTTAACCGTATTCGAGGTGTGTGTTGTGAACCTAACCGGTGGTTCTGGGATGTTTTATGGGTTTATGGGGACTCACCATGCACTTGTTGGGTTTCTCTCCAGAGTGGACCCTCATGTGAATGAGCAGCTTGTAGCGGGCGTTGAAGGGCTTGTAGCGGCGAATGCAGCCGGCCCAGAAACAGGTGAAGTCCTCACCTTTCCGCTGGTCGATGTGGACCTTCTCGATATGTCTCACAAGCTCCTCCTGCTGCTCGTACGCAGCGCTGCAGTCAATCCAGCGACACACCTGCTTATCCGCCACCGCTCCTCCTCCGACTTCTTCCCTCTCCGGGGCTGTGTGGGGCCCAGGAGGACCTCCAGAGGCTGATTTGAGTCCCAGGGAAGAGGCCGGGGCTGTTTGCTGGTTCTGGTGGTGCAGCGGGCCCCCGGGACTGGGCCCCACGTATTGGTGCAAGTGGTACGGCGGAGGCATGGCAGCTCGAGGCGGGTGGTGACGAAGGTGCCCGCTGCGACCACTCAGGTGATGGTGGTGGTGATAGTGGTGCTGAAAGAGTTCGTCCTCACTGGGGGAGAAGTCATCGAGGGGTTCCTGCTTCAGGGCGGCCCCAGATCTTTGGCCCCCGTCTAGGAAACCCCCAGTTTCAGGCCCCGAATGCAGCGTCCCAGACATCAGGGCCCCGCTCATCAGCAGCCCCAACCCGTCCGAGCCTCCTCCTCCTCCTCCTCCTCCCACTCCTCCCTCGGCCGATCCTCCAGCCCCACGCCCCGGCAGCATGGAGCCCTGCTCCTCGCACAGCCCCAGGCTCTGGCCCTGGCCCTGCTCCGGCTCCACTAACGACGCTGACGAGGAGGACGAGGAGGAGGAGCAGGAGGAAGAGAGGGACAGCAGGCAGGTAGCAGGTGAGGACAGCTGACAGCTCTCCTGTAGCGAGGCCTGCTGGGGGCTGCCGTGAGGCGGGGGCCTCTGGGGGGCTTCCCGAGAGCAGGAGTTAGAGGGTGGAGACGTAGAAGAGGAGGAGGAAGAGGAGGAGAAGCCGGCGCTGCTGGTGTGGCTGGGCGAGAGGTTTGCGCGGAACCCGTTGACGCAGGCGACCATTGACATCTGGGAGGAGGAGCAGATGATGGCGGTGATATTGATCTCCTCAGAAGCAGCGCCAGGAGCTGATGGGGAAGCGGTGGCAGCGACACTGTTGGTGCCAGCGGCGGCGGCGGCGGCGGACTGGGAGGCCAGAGACAGGCAGCGTCTCTTCAGACTGCTAGCACTGAGCAGCCGCGCTGAATGACGGGAGCCAGTTGGGGACAAAGCCAGCGGGGAGGAGCCATCTTCATTATTAAACGGCTGCACGGCGTCCCCTGACACAGCCCTGTCCACGCCGCTCACTGTGCAGACGCCATTGCCGTTGTTGCTAACGTGCAGGGCGCCGACTATCTCGTCCCTTGGCACCTCCAGAACTTGGCCCGCCCTACAGGCCTGAAACCCACCCTGAGATGCGCTGCGGACCCCGGACCCCGGGCTGGAAATCTTGTAGCCCATGGAGTTCTCCTGTTTGATTGGGTACGGGACGGAGGAGCGAGTCCCGTTGGCACCGCAGCCCAGGCCGGGTGAGGCCCCCGGCAGGGTCCTGTGGAAGGCAGAGGAGGATCTGTAAGGAGCAAAACACAAAGAATACGAGCGCTATTAGCTCAGCGCCCGTTGACAGACACCGGCTGGTTCATCCTTCCCACCAGCAGCACTGTCAGCATTTTGCCTCCCGCTGCCCCTCCTCGTCCAACCTGTCTCTCAGTTTACATAAAAATCACGTCATCCCGAACGAGTCCCACTGACCTAAAATATTCCAACTAAGACGATCAAACATTAGGTCACGTTAAGGATGCAGTAGCGTGAGGTGATGTCGCGCACCACGCAGCATAAACTGCTGATGATCCAAAGTGTTTTTATGAATAAATGAAACAGGATCTTCTTGTAGTGAGAGGATATGAATGGACATTTAAGAATAGAGAGATGAGGGGGAGGGCGACCGAGACTGAGAGGCCACTGGCTAGTGTGTCCATCTGGCAGGCTTTGATGACACAAAGGGGTTAAACCCAACCCAACATTGGGGATAAATAGGGAGTCACCTGTTTTTGGTGGCAATAATTGCAGCCTATGAAGGGTCACCGTTTACAATACTGTGTATTATGGTGGGAATCTGTGCCCTGCTGAATGGGGCACCCAGGTCAGATTTCTCCATGCGTTGCTGTGATCTCCTACATAATCATTCCTGTCAGTTGGCTCATTATGGATTTTGTCCAAAGCCCCTGAGTGATGTGAGAAGAGCTCCCTTTTCTCATGAAGGTACCGTCTTTGTCCACCTTCCCCTGAGCGCACCGGGGGGAAAAAACAGAGCTAACGCCAGCTAAGGCTGCAGAAAGCCACTGGCAGACTTTGTCATCGTTGTTGTTAATAAAGACGTGAACCCTCCACTCCCTCCCCCTCGCATCTCTTTCTATTCATGAGCGCCATTTCCTGTTTGGCTGTAGTGAAAATATTGAGAGACACTATGAGAGAAATGAATGTCTGTCCAGAAGCATGGAGGATAGAGGGAAAGAAAGGAGGAGGAGGAGGAGGAGGAGGAGGAGGAGAAACAAACTGAGAAATTCACTGGAAATTCCTTCTGACTTGACCAACAGTAGTCGCAGGTTGCTCAACAGAAGAGTCGCATTAGTGCAACATAAATGTTGTACCTCGGCCCCCTTTAGCGTGTTTTTACGAGGCTGGGTAAAGTTTTCCAGCAGCATATGTGTGCATCTGATCCACAATAGCAAAAATAATGAGAACCACATTGTACCTGCATGCTGTTAGTAACACTACACCAAACAGGAAACAGTCAAAACTGGACCTGGCCAAAGAATATTATGAAACAGGAGTACCGGTGACAGTGTACCTGGTGTCTTGGTGAGGGCCGTCCTGCAGGAGGAGGTCAGGTGTAGGTCTGCTGCACTGGATGCTCTGGGGGTAAATCCCCTCTGAGTGACCCCCGGCTGGCAGCGGTAAGCTCTGCCCACATCGCATCAGGCTGCCCTCAGCGTCGCCCAGATCAGCATCCTTCTCCGAGCAGTAAGCGCCGTTCACTGGGAAAAGGAACAGCGACAGTATTAGTAAAGTGGCCACCAAGAATCAGAAGGTACACTGTAAAAAATACATTGTGTTGAAAAATAAAAGTGAAAATCTGGCAGCCAGGTTGCAAGAAAAAAATGTGTTAAAAAGAAAGAAAGAAAGAAAAAACTTACAGTGGAGCACTTTAATGTTCAAAAACTGTAAAACTAGGGAAAATAACAGGAAATACCTGTAAAATAACGGTAGCTTTAACTTATTTAAACACAATAAAACTGTGTGATTTCATGGTCACACATTGTTAAAAATTAGATTACTATCTGTAAAAGTTATTTACAGGCTTTTTTCTGCAGTTTGTATGTATATTAATCCTCTAATGCTACCACATATTGTCAGTAAAAATCTGTAAAATTCTGTTAAAAATGATTTACCAGTTTATAATCCTTAATATACATTTATTTTATTTTCAAACAATGGTAAATATCTGTAAACAATAATTAACAAAATATTTTTATTATCTTAATACAGTAAAAATGTTGTAATTTTACAGTCAAATGTTGTGAATGATTTTTGACGTTATTTACAGTTTTTCCATGTTTTTTTAATTATTAAAAAATAAATAAAAAATTAATACCTTTTTCCTGAGAGTTTACTAGGTATTATCTGTAATTTAACAAAACAAGGAAAATCTGTAAAATAAAAGGTTGAAAACTATTTACCACCCTTTAAGCCATAATATGCATATTTTTTCTTTCCAATAATGGCAAATATTTGTAAAATAGTGATATTTTACGATCAAACTTTATGAAGGAATGAACAACTATTTGTAAAAATACAGATTTTTGATGTGGACTTATTTTCAGTTTTGGCCTCATTTTATTTATTGGTCAACATGTAAATTAATACTTGTTTTTCCTGTGATTTTACTTGGTATTATCTGTAATTTAACAAAACAGAAAATCTATGAAAGAGCAATAAATTGCTAAAAATAAATAAATAAATAAATAAAACTAGTTAGAAACTTTTTAAAAACTTTCCTTTTTCACAGCGTAGCTAAAACACTATTTAAATACTTTTTCCATTTTTTTCCCACATAGACAGACCAGTACATCCCCAATATGTGCTGATATATTGCATTAAAGCTCTGCAGAGCAGTGACCCAGTGTCATTCCAGTTAAAAACTGGCTCTGCGGATCACATTTAGTGATCTGCTGACTGTCCTGGAAGACTAATGGGTTTATAATGGGATCCACGCCATCGGTGACATGTTGAAATCTTATTACATTATGAATATTCTCTTGAGGAATAATCGCTGGCTGCCACCACTGCAGCATCCAGTGATATATGGAGAGTTCCTTGGCAAAGTCCAACTGGTGGCAGCAAGAATAACGGCAGACAGACTAACTGCCAAATATTATTACTGGAGTAATTGAGGAATTATATTCCAAATGGCAATACATCCAGTTTGGAAAAGTAAACCAGCTCAAATGAATTTGTACCGCAGGTCCAGGCAGCAGAAGTGGAACTGTTTCATCATTCAGTCATTTTAATCACACGCTGTTCCTTCAAACTGGTATCAGTTGTTGAAATTTTGTGCAATCAGTTCTTTTGTGAAAACAGTGACCTCATTAATTGACTTAATTCATTTGTTATCTTTATTGATTTAATTGATAAATTATTCATTTTGGGAGGAAAAAAATAACTTGTTTGATATAATGCAAGTGATTTGACCTGAAAGCTCTAATTAAAGGGCAACACGCTTTTGAGTTTCTAGCATTTATGACTCCATGAATGTGACCAAAACTGTAATAAAAATAGGAAAGAGGGAGGCGAATGTGGGAGGAGGGAGGTTTGGCTGTATGAGGAAATGTTTGTGAAGGGTAAGTCGATATCCCCGAACACTCATGTGCAGGCGACCACGCGTCCCCCCCTGTTCCAACTCTCTTAACTCAATTTCTCAAATTTAATTTTCTCCTAACAATGTTATTGATAATGTTATCACACACCATGAGCTATTATTAATAAAGTCACACAAACAAGGTGCTGGAAGAGAAATATATAAGGAGCACAAACGAATGTGAAATAGTGAGCGAAAAATCCTGCGCACATTCAGGAGAGAAGGGAAGATATTACAACATGAGTAACAGATGGAAAGAGAGGATAAACAAGAGAGGGGAGAAAGGGAGAAAATGTTCCCGAATATGGGAAAAAGGTTATAAGAAAGAACAAAAGACAAGAGAAAACAAGGGCACTTTATGGCCGTGTTATCCTCAGTTTGTCGAACATCTTTTCCCGCCTACAGCTGATGTGTCCACAGTCTCCGCTGCATTTGTCTTGTCGCGGGTCACGGCAGAAACACAAAGAGGCAGCGAGAAGGCGAAGCGAGCAACGCAAACAGTCCGGCGTGGCCAGGAGGGACCGCAGGAACGACGCTGGTTTCACTCAAAGCTGTTCACAGAAGGCGAAACGTCTTTCAGCTCTGGTCTGTTTTCAAGCAATACAAATCGTTGTGTTTATCGGGATTGCTCATTCTCTTTTGTTTTTTTTTTCTTCACCGTTCGTTGGCCGAGCATCCCCGACCAGTTAGTGTATACAACCGTATGAGAGTTTCAAGGCCCGCTGATGGGAGGCCAAGTGTTTCCCCCTCGACTCGAGTAATTCAATCAGGATGGCCAGAAGTGATATGAATCAGAGTGGAGATGACAAACAGGTCTTTTAATTAGGCTTCGGCTGTTCGTGTTTGCGCTCAGAAAACAACTAAACAAAAACAGTGTCGTCGTAAAGCGCTTAATGGACTGGCATTTGGTCAACGAGGCCCTTGACTGAATGCACATGCTCCCTCTCACACACACATATCAGAGTCACCAGCCTTAAAAAAATAAAAATACAAAACAAAAAATAACAGAGAACCGCACAGAACCAGGCAGCCCAATAAATCTAATGTGAATTACAGGACAAATGCTGGTTGCTCTGCTCCGCTGGGGGACGTCTGCCAGGAAAAGTTAACCATGTAAATGAGCAGGGAGAAAAGACAGAGATGATTCGAGAAGACCAATTACCTTTCTGCACAACGTTTGAAACGGACTGATAATAAAGCCATTGTTCTGCAGCGGGGTCTGTGTGGATATGTGAGTCTAGACATCAGCGGACAGCGGTTGCACACAGACCTTGATTTTGAATGCAAAAAAAAAATAAATGAAATAACAGGGCTTGCTATCAAACCTCAATACTTTTTTGGAACAAACAACAAATGTAATACTAATCTATTTAAGTTCTTGTACAGCTGTGTATGTTTAGACCGCATATATGTTGGGTACTTTTATTTCTTTCATTAAATAATGTTTCTTTTTTTTTTTACATTTCCCATATACTGTATTGTATTGATAGAAGTCATGTGCGGTTATGCCGAAGCCCATATGCTACTATTCCTAATACCAAAGTGCACATGCTTCAAATGCACTTTAAAAAAGTACAAGAAGTACTTCAAGGGGGTCTATTCCCACCACTGAAATAAATGCATGGTTGCAAGACAAAAACCAATATCTAATTTACTTATTTAGATAAACCTTTTAAGTTTTTTTGATGAGTTAGGTTGCATCAACTTGTCATTGTGTGTAGGTTGAACTCAAATTCCTGCATTAGTTGAGGTAATTTAATGAAATTGGCTTGATAGCATTTTTTTCCTTTAGCTTGAGTTTAAGATTTTAAGTCGCTCCCTTTTTCCTAGCATGCTTGGACAAGTTCAGACAGGTAAGACTAGTAATTAAAATACCTTTTATTGTAGAGGAGAAACTAATTCCTCTAACTCGATGTAGTTTGTTGGTTGAACATGATGTCATTAGTTGTAATAGCTCAAAAAAGATTGATTCAAAGTGTTGTTGTTGTTGTTGAGTTCAAACATTATTTTTAAGATCGTGAATATGATAACCACCTGTCCAGGGTGTCTCCTGCCTTCGCCCTAAGTTGGCTGGGATAGACTCCAGTCCCCCCGTGATCCTAGTGAGGATTCAGCGGTGTATAGATAATGGATGGATGGATGGATGGATGGATGGATGGATGGATGGATGGATGGATGGATGAGTAAGTTCTGGAATAAATGCCACCAATAGATCACCTTGCACTAAACCACATGTTCATCATTTACCGTAAATTCCGGACTACTGAGCGCACCAGAATATAAGCCACACCCACTAACTTTGAAAAGAAAACAAGTTTTGTACATATATAGGCTGCACTTGTCTATAAGCCACAGGTGTATTTACAAATAAAGATGTTAGACAGAAAGATTTTTAAACTTCTAATTAAACACGTAAATTAAATACGCTTCTTTCCCCCCAAACAGTGCCTGTAACACGGCTGGTTACAAAAACTGAAATTACAGCAGCCAACCAGGAAAAGTCATCGATCGTTATCTTCATCTTCCTCCTGCACTAAAACCACTAAAGTCGTCTTCTTCAGTGTCTGAATTGAGCAGCCTCAGAATTACTCCATCACACACTTCTTCAGTCTCTCTTTCGTTGTCGCTCTCAATGTCACTTTCGTCTCGAGGCAAATTCGTAAAAATCCATAAATTAGCTGCGTCATTGTTTAAGTCGCAGTGTTCAAAGTATGTGAAAAAAGTAGCAGCTTATAGTCCAGAATTTACGGTAGAGAGTTTGCTTCCTGTAACAGCTCCATCTTTTAGTCTCTTTGAAGCAATAGAAGCTGTAAACATCATCTTTTAGCTCTAATTTTGGTCTCCACCACCTCCTGAGGAAAACATTTTGTTCTTTAGTTGCTCACCAGCTTCCCACTTTGTCGGTGCTGTTCTGTAATGTGCAGGTAGCGTGCAATATTTCTTTTTTTAAAAACTGAAAATATCTGCAAGAAGCAGCTGGAAAAGATTGGTGAGAGTGAACCGAGCCAGTAAAGTTGCGGGCCAAAAAAAACCCCAAAACGATGAGTTTAAAAGACACCGAAACACACAATAGAGTTGCTACAGTTCCTTTCACATGCCTATTTCACTTAGAGGTACTAA